ACATTCTATATTCCAGGGTAAATTAATGATTTGTAAGATATTAGTCACATTCTATATTCCAGGGTAAATTAATGATTTGTAAGATATTAGTCACATTCTATATTCTAGGGTAAATTAATGATTTGTAAGGCATTAGTCACATTCTATATTCCAGGGTAACTTAATGATTTGTAAGATATTAGTCACATTCCAGATTCCAGGGTAAATTAATGATTTGTAAGATATTAGTCACATTCTATATTCCAGGATAAATTAATGATTTGTAAGATATTAGTCACATTCTTCATTCCAGGATATTTGCTCAGAAGATGTAATTCAGTTTGTTAGCTCTGGGTGAGGAGCTTTTTTTTTCTTCTGTTTTTTTTTTTTGTCAGACAGATTCTTATTTCATGTAGCTGCGAGTTTGTCTAATTATCAAACTCTGGCCAAACAATTAAAGTGCTTTAGAAAATTAGAGCCTCCATTTTTTCATTTTCTTGGCCAATGAAACTGTAGAACTTGGTAGTGGACTGAGAAAATACATTTCAGTCAAGTTCTAGATGATAAGGCTTCAACTTGGCACTTTCAGTGCAGACTTTATTTCGAGTCTTCGAAGATAATATTATAGTTTTTTGAGCTCCATTTTATATGAGCTGTTTTTACCATCGTTGTTTTTAAATTGCTTCATTTTTAATTCAGAGATCTCTGTTTCAGCTTCTGTGGTTGTAATTATTAGACAGTTATTTAAACTTAATTTTCATTGTTTTATTTGTATACACCGGTTATTCTGTTACTTGTAAAGTCCACTCCTTTGAAATTTTAATTTTCAGTAATTTTTTTTAAACTAATGCTTGTAGCTTTTGGATTTGGTTTGTTTTGAATTTCGCGCAAAGTTACACGAGGGCTATCTGCGCTAGCCGTCTCTAATTTAGCAGTGTAAGTCTAGAGGGAAGGCAGCTAGTCATCACCACCCACCGCCAACTCTTGGGTACTCATTTACCAACGAATAGTGGGATTGACCGTCACGTTATAACGACTGAAAGGGCGAGCATGTTTGGTGGTACGAGGATTTAAACACGCGACCCTAAGATTGCGAGTCAAGCGCCCTAACCACCAGGCTATGCCGGGTCAGCTCTTGGGTCTGATTTCATTTCCATTGTTACCATTATATCATTATATGTTGTAATGTATCTATAAAAGTTCATTCATCGCTACTTTGCATTGATGAAGTGACAAATGTAAGTTCGTTATTTAGTTGATTAATTTTTGTCATACAGCACAGTTATAGAGAATATAGTTACTAACATATCTTTTAATTTCATGAAGTCATTATTCTTAGATAAACTGATTATGTATACCAACTATTAGATTCACATACAAGATATATTATAAAACATCTGACAATTAAGCAAAGATAAAATTGCATCCATGTACAAACCAATTTAAGTGCAATTAAGTAACTGTTTTGAAAACTACATACATAAAACTTCTATAATTTTTGTCAAAACTTCAGTTCTGTAAAAATGGTGTAAAAAACTTTGCAGTTTATATATCTGTCTTTGGTTATTAACATTTGAACTATTTGTTTATTACTTTTGTTATATAACTAACATACCAAGTTTATCGAAAACGTGTGAAGAACAAAACTTCCTTTACAATGTGTTCCCTGGTACGTATAATACTATGTTATGAAAAATGTTATTCTTAAAGGTGTGGCTCATTCGTTATCGTGCCTGAATTATGCATTCTATGATTATTTATTCGTATCTTATCCCTGCAAAAACATGCTCCGTACTTCCGGGCTGTGGGTGCAGTATAAGAGTGACGGTCAAGTCCCACTATTCAGTCAGATAAATCAACTAAAGAATTTGCAGTTGGTGCAGTTCATTAGCTGAGTACCCTCTAGTCTATCAGCTCAAAATTAGGAAGGCTGTGCGCAGATAGTCCATTTTATAGGATTGCTGAAAATACTGAAACAAACAAATGGTCGTTTTTTTCTGTTTTTTATTTTTTCAGTTATAGCTTGTAAGGATATGATAATAAAAAATTGTACATATCTGAATCGTTGCTTGGAGCACCATTAGAGCCCAATTGTTTACTGTATGCTAGCGCGTTTTGTGGGTTAAATAAATTGTAGGGCATAAAGATTCAGATAATAAAATTTCCATTTTTAACTGGAAAAAGGGATTCAACCACTAAAATGATATAATTTGTAGCACATGCAAACTCATTCCAGTTCTGAAAATGTCGAGAATTACATGGAGATACAATTTTATTCTACTCTCTAGCATGAATTTTTCGTTGCTTAAACTCACTTGAATGTACTGCTTCCACAACATCCGAAGGCAATCCATTGCACAGACCAACCACTCTGTTAGAAAAATGAAACTGTCTTAGCTGAAGATGACTCTTACCTTGCCAAAGTATATTTGTCTCCCTTAGTCCTACTATTCTCGCTATTAAGTATGAAAAAAGAAGATGCATCAACACTATCCAATCTCTTTACAATCTTAAACACCTCAATCAGATCTCCCCTAACTCTTCGTTTTTCAAGAGAAAACAATTTGAGAGATTTCAGCCTCTCCTCGTACGTCAACCCCTCCATCCAAGGCACCATTCTAGTAACCCTTCTCTGAACCCTTTCCAACAATTCAATGTATTTCCAAGGTAAGGAGCCCAAGTCTGAACACAATATTCCAAATGTGGCCTAACCAGTGACCTGTACACTGAAAGTATGACCTCAATATTTTGGTAGATAAAACCTAAAATCCTATTTGCCCTACCACTAGCAATAGCACAGTGCTTGGA